CACGATAGGTACCATGCATTGATTGCACTGGCTTGGTGTGAACGGGCTCTTAAAGTCACTTGAGTGTTGTTGATTTTACGAACAGAAGAATCTGAGTATTTCAGGACTATGGACAGGACCGTACAAAGTTGTCATCCCTAAAACTGCACCTGTAGTAGAACACCAATGGCATTGCAAGTTTTCATATCACTGGTCATTGCTCCTAAGCTCATGTAGCATTTGGGTTTCACAGTCAAATGGTAATGTACTCGTATTGTGGTGTTTGACATTGTGTGAGAGTGTTGTCTGTCTGTCTTTGGAAGGAGGACTACCAAGTGCAAGCAATCTAGAAAAGTTTATTTCTGTATTGTTCAACTCCAGTCCTCAAACAGTGCTAATTTTTGTTCTCTTTACAGACGCAGAGGTGTGACGTATAGTAATTAGTGTTGTATTTTTAAATTAGATACACTGTTCACGTGAATCAGTGTCTAAATTACCAAACCACATAATTATTTTTTTGTAAACAAACAATACCTTTTCTACGCCATGGACAAAAAATAATGCTCCTTATCATCCTTTGTGACCCAAATCTGGACACCTTAAGCCGAGCATACACGGTCATATTCTTTTCTTCAACCTGCGGGCTGAATAAAAAATTGTAGAACAGATTCCTCCATCAACGCTTATAAGCGTGGATCGAGGAATCCCTTGCCGTTTCTATTGTATTCTGACAGCAGACACTGGCCACTATCAGAATACCCGAACAGAGCCTGCAACTGATTGTTGCAATCTCCGCTCGGCCAACAATATTCTAGCCTGCTCCTTGATCAGCTGATTGTGGGATGCTGGGTAGAAGGGTGCCGACAGCATGCACCAACTGTGCAAATTTTGCACGATTCATGAAGACCGGGCTGAAATTTGCACCAGGTATACCCTACTTTAGATCACATGTTCTGTGGCTGCCTGGAGCTTTTTGGGTGTTTAATGTCAATAGAGACTGTAGTCTATTTTTCAATAAGACAGACTGTGATTGGGAGACTTGCAGTCAGGTAAGAGGGCCAGCAAGGAGTAACTAGGAAGGAAAGCCTGCAAATGTAATGGGCAAATGTAAACATCCTATGTACAATAATCTTATCAATATCACATGCTACAGCCTAATTTTTATTAATGCAGCTGTATCATTTTCAGGACCAGAGCGCAGTACCAATTTTTAGTACAATCCCAGGCATGTTGTGGTTATAGATATTGCCCCAGATAGTACAGATTTACTTGGCATTGTAAAACTTAGATGAAAGCAGAACTCCAGCCAAAAAATACAAAATAAAAATGAATAGCCCTTTAAGACCTAAAATAACAAAACAATTTTGGTGCTTTTATTACTGATTAACCCCATAGTTCTCCTTTTAAGGACATTTGCATGGGAAGAAACCCCATGTCAACTATAATGTCATCATTCACCAAAAGATATATTTAAGACTATACATACATGTTTTTTCTTTGAAGTGTCCAGGTGGTAGGAATTGGCAGATGCTCTCAAAGCTGCAAAGTATCATAATCTTTATCCTAGATCTCTGGGTGCCCATACACTGTGCAAATTTCAGCTGGTTTTTGAGGAACCGGCTGAAATTCGCACTGTGTGCCGCTGTCGGCACCCTTTCAGTCGGCATCCCAGCTGATTGAAGGAGCTGGCCAAAAAAGCTGGTCAGCAGCTGCTGTCAGGATACAATGCAAACAGCGGGGTTCCTTGATCGACACACTCCTAAGGGTTGATGGAGGAATCTGCTCTATTTTTCAGCCTGCGGGTTGAATGAGAAAAATAGAGCAGTGTATGGCCAGCCATAATCTGGTAGAATCTTTGTCATTTCTTAGTTTTATAAGCATCTTTTATTAGCACTGAGCTAAGAAAGGAGATGGGGCATGCTGTGTGGGGCTTCTTGCTTGATATTCAGCTTTTTCTCTCACAGGGAGAGAAAAAACAAAAACAAATTTAGTTAGACTTGAGAGGGAAATCTCTGCAATTTTGGGTCGGGTGAGTATAACTCAAAGAATAACTCTGGCCAAAACTTTTCTTAAGCCTTACAGTGGGGCCACTCCCTATTGTTTTAACCACTTCCGTGCCGCAATAAGTCTATAGACGGCGGTCCATTAAAGTGGTTAAAACAAGAACACGGCTGCTGGACTCGGAAGTGATGTGTATTACATCACTTCCGGTGTCACTCTTACAGTCTCCAGCTCTTACAAGTTGACCCCTCCTGCACACACCAGAACTAACCCATCTGAGTAAAGGGTACTTGCCAGTAGCTGTATTCCACTGTAATTGGCAGAGATTTACCATGGCAATAAAAAGCTGACCCAGATTGGGTGCAGTGCTGTATAGAGGGAGCTATACGGGCCCTGTTGCGGCTGCCCATGTAACATTCAGTGGGTGTGTGGGAAACACTCTGGATCTGTGGGACTCCTGGATTTTATTGACTTCCTGGTAAAGTCCCACAGAATCCAGGGTAGTAGTGAGGCATGGAACAGGGGAAAACCCCAAATATGTTGTTTTTTTGGTCTGTATCTCCAAGCACCCATTTGTTTGCTCCGGGTTTTATTTAGGGATTAGATGGATAGCTTGCAATGAAACCTCCTTTCTGATGTACTACCCAATCTATGCACTTAAGTGACATTAGCAAACTAAACTGAAAAGCCTTATCTACCTATTCACCTCTATTTGCTAACATAATCTCTTCCTGGTAAGCAAGCATTAATACATTGTGCATACTGTGATAATACATTACTTGAGAACAAACTAAATTTAGTATAGTGCCATAGGAAATCCAATAATTAGTGCAATTTTGCGACCCTTCATACACATCATTGTAATTGCCACCCATCAAACAAAATGCAGCTATTTACACGTAAAGATTATGGTCAGGAGACCATATCTATACAAAGCACATGCAGAAGTGGGATTTACTGTCCGCTAGCACAGCAACAGAGTGTATGTTTATATCTGCAACACGCGAGGAGAAAAAAGACGCACAATGCATAATTTTATAATCCTTATTGGCAAAACTGCAATGAGATCAAGCATGTTTTCTGTCTTTAGTGGAGTATGAAGCAGATGGATGTTAATACAGAATGAAAAATAACCTGATAAAAGCTTGCATCTAATCTTTAACAGCTGTAACTGAAATTGCAATTGTCAAATTTTTTATTGCGAACACCAAAACTCAAGCAGACTAACATAAATATGCATGCTTTGCTGAATATTCTGTCAGTCACCATGACACAGAGACTCGGAAAGGCACAGATGTGGGAGCTTTGGTTGTAAGATGGCTGCATATCCAATAGCTAATCTTTAGTATTGTTGTTATTATTATTATGTTTTAGTCATCCAGACTCTATTTCCTAGCCTGTCTATGCACTTGACATATATTGCTAAAACCTACTTAGCATTTTATTATAGTGTGCATCCCTGAAATCTCCCAAACAGGAATACCCACATTAATAAAACCCATTTAGTAAAATAATGAATGCAAGGACCTCCACCAGGTTTTTATTGCAGTCTCTGTCCCCATTGGAAAGGTTCCATTCACTTCCTGTCCCAGTAACTGTGGTCAGCAGGACTGGAAGTAAGGATAACAATATCTAAAGGGGACATAGGCAATAATATAAAAAATATCCCGTTTTTAACTGTAATCAACTCTTTTATAATCATTTTAAAAGTAGAAAGGAGGCTGCAGATCTCTTTTTGCTTGTTTGTCCACACCCCTGCATTTTGTTTTTTAAATAGTGAAGTATCTTATGGTCTGAGTTCTGCTTTTCCTGTGTATACATGTGCATAATGGGTACCAAGTTCCTCTTCTCCCCAAAATACTACTAATATTTTAAAGTAACCAGTTAAAGCAACTATAAAATGGATTGAGAATGGAATAAAGACTGGAAGGCTCTGCACTATTTGCAGAAGAATAAAAAATGCCTAAAGACTGAGAAAGAAAGGATTAAAACTGAGTTTTAATCACCTGCATCATCCTCCAGTCAAGTGTGAAGGTATAAATAGCTGTATGCACATACCAAAGCCAAGCTGTGGTGTTATGTCATTGCATTTATTTTAAGCCATATACACTTGGATTGCTCAAAATCAATAGATTCCTAAACAGCATGAATGGAGGATTATTGTGTTTAGTCGCAGCACCCGTGGCTGTCTGAATGCCTGAACAGTTAGGGCATCTAATGCAGCCACTATTTAGCTAATTATTTACCACATGGCTCAGTATTTTTTTTTAAATAGACTATAATAGATTTAGGTAGGATTAATATGGCCACCTACTGCTCTTATGTTGGCCAATTTAGCCAGAATTGGCCAAAACACAAGCCATGTTTGACTAGCTTAAGTAATGAAAAACAAGCAGGATGAAGCAGTCTGTCCATCGTTATTATGGCATAGAATCTTGGAGAGCTTTAGGCTGGGTTCACACCTAGGCGTATTGAATATGCGCGTTTGTCGGTAAAAAAATGTGCGACAAACGCGAGTTTCCGAGGGCTACTTCGCTGTATCCCAATGGAAACGCGCAACAAAAACACCCTAAAGAAGCTCCTGTACTTCTTTGGGCGTAGGACGTTTTGTAGCGCGTTCATACGGCCTGTAATACGCCCAGGTGTGAACCATACCCATAGGAAATAATGTGATTTCGGTCTTTGATCGTTTTGCAGAGCTTTGGAACGCGCTACAAAACGCCCAGGTGTGAACCAGGCCTAAGAAGGTGATTACGTGGTACCATAACTTCTCATAAATGACTCCCACAGCTCTCTGTGTATAGAGAATTTATCGTCATTGCTGTTAATTTTGTATAATTTTAAGATGTTAAGTGGTAGTTCTGTAGGTAATTATTATATTATCAATATATGTGCTTGGTCTAATTGCCTCTGCAGCCTTTTATTTGTGTTTTTAATATATAGTATGAGCACGTACATTCATGCATTATTCTCTATTGTTTTGTTTGGCCATTGTTGAAAACCTTGCATTTTTTTGCCAGATAACTTCTATGGCACTCCAAAACCACCAGCTGAGCCGAGTCCCTTCCAACCTGATCCTGTGGATGGAGCCCTATTTGATGCAGACTTTGACACAGAGGTTACGAGGAAGAGAACCACATCTGTCAGTAAAATGCAACGCACAGACTCTTCTCTCCCTGAAGAAGAGGAGGAGGAGGATAGAGAAGCTGTCAATGGCAGCAGTGGAAGCACAGGTGAGGCCTAAATTGTTTTTGAAAGCAATAGGTCCTCTCAGCTGCTTCATATTATAGGATAAATTAAAAATACCCATGCAGCTCATCTGTTTATATCTAGGAAACAGTCTATATGGTTTAAATTGTGATACTTATACATACTCCATATGTGTAAACCTGTTTATTAGATCAGCTCCTATTAGGGATTTCTGTGCATAGGGGACTTTCTAGTGTAACTAAACTATATGGTTTAACACTAGATTGTGTGTGCACAAAAGAAAAGCAAAGTAGTTTAATTTGTGAATGAGTGTTTGGGCTAGATGAGCTTTGGGTAAGAATCATTTGTCTTGATTGTATTTTCCTAATCATTATGCCCCATGTAACATGTACTCGGTCTCTCGCTGTGTTCTACAGCATGTCTCCAACCACGCCTGTAGCATGTCCACTGTTTCTCTGTCCATTTTTCCCACTAGTGTGTCTGCTGGTTATACCACCCGTCTATGTGTACCTTAAAGGAAAGCCATCATGAGAGAATTATTTATGCTGCCATTGCTGACATCTCCTTCTGAAAATGGTAGTTGCCTGTCTGCTTGCTGATGCAGTGGCATCAATGTATTTAGTGTATCTAAAACCAAGAAAAAAATGTAGTATACTGCACCTTTCCAGTGTGGTGGCAGAAAATTGTTCTGGCAGATGAAGGCACTTGTTACCATTCTAAGAAAAGTTGGCCATTGACTGGGACAGAGAAGGGGAAGGAGAGCCAACATGAATGGTTGCTGTTTGGTTTGGACAACTCTTATTTTATGCCTATGAGTATCCAACTATAGCAGGCTGAGCTACTATTTAAAAAAAAAAAGTTTTGTAGTTAAGCTTACAAGTCCTGTAATTGGAGATTGAAGGAAAAATGGATCCTTTACCTTTAATTTGTTTTCTCTATTATTAATAATTTTCTACCAATATGTCTAGCGAGAGCTTTCTCTTGACAAGATGTATTGGTATCAACACATGAGTCGTCTGTTTCATTTGTTTTTTAGAGCACAGACCAGAATCTGCAGAGTGGGGAAAAACTGTCCCTAGCTACAACCAGACCAATAGTTCTATGGACTTCCGAAACTATTTAACACAAAGTGAAAACCTTGAACCCCTTCCAAAAAACTGGGAAATGGCCTACACAGAAGCAGGCATGATCTACTTCATAGAGTGAGTTAATGTGACTATTTTTGTTACATACTAGGTTTTTATGTTATGCATGATTTCACATTTGTGCTAAAAACGTAACTTATATTTTGGTTCATCCCTGTGGTGGATAGATTTCTCTACTCGGATGCTGCTTTGACCTGTGTTTTGTACATATGTACATACATCAATCTCTTTAGGGAGGGCCATAGCCTGACTCTGCTGTGGCACAGAGTAAGACGTGAACCAAGACATCACAATATCTCATTATGACTTACCCCAGCTTTACACACAAAAGCATCACGCAGTGAAACAAATGTTTGTATGAAATTATTTTGTTAGTAAATACATAATCATGATTCTTTTGTTGTGGTAGTAAGGGCATGGCCTTATTTAGACATTATGCTGTCCTAGGCACACCTAGTCAATTGTGCCCTTTTTTGCAAGTTCCCCTCATTGTGTCATGTGATCATTTTAGTAAATTCTCTGCTAGAATATACTATTGAAAGCAACAAGCTGCCCACTTGTAGCTGGCTACCTTTAATTGTACAGGTAAACAAACAAGAGAAAAGAGATAGTTTCATATTTCCCTTACAGTTAGCTTGTGGATTTTCGCCAGAAATTACCATAGGAGGCCAGAAACAAACTAAGGAAGTCACAAGAATACAAGGCATTTTGTGATTAGAGGAGGAGAGATGATGTCTCATCCCAACCGCCCCCCTCCTCCAATCACAGAGAAGGGAATTTATCAAAACTGGAGCAGACAAAATCTGGAGCAGTTGCCCATGGCAAGCAATCAGCTTCTCTCTTTCATTTATAAATCTTAACTGAACAAACTGAAGAGAGAAGCGGATTGGTTGCCATGCACAGCTGCTCCAAATTTTGTCTGCTCCAGTTTTGATAAGTTTCCCCCATAATGTCTTGAACTATTTGAAATAATACAACGTATTTTATGAATGGGCAGTAGTGAAGATGAGTGAGTGATGCGACCAGAACCCTTTTACTTTTCCAGTCGTATCTCTCTTTCTCTGCTCAGAGCCCGAAAGCTTGGTGTTATGTGCAGGAGACAGCATGCTTTAAAGTAAGATTTTTATTCTTTGCAGCAGCCCTCCACACATAACCTACATCCTTTTAAAGACAATTTACACACCCAGGCTGGTGTGTAAATAATAATTTTTTTCCTGACGTTTAGTTTTAATTAAGTCATCCATAACTCTGTTGTCTTACTGAGTTATTTCGACAAATTGTATTGCAAACATATTATAGTGACTATTCTGCATTTGTTATCACAAGAGCAAAAGACTTGAAACATTGGAACAGTCAGACCTTAAGGCTTGTAGAGTAACAGGAGTAATTAACCATGTGCCATTGCATCTCTGGAAAGGAGATCTGGTGTGTTTCATGTTGTTCTGATTGCATCAGATACCAGAATAACTTGTGTTGGCATTTTACCCTTTATTAGCCATAACACAAAAACAACAACTTGGTTGGATCCACGCCTGTGCAAGAAAGCAAAAGCTCCAGAAGACTGTGATGATGGTGGTAAGTGTTTTGTCATACTTTGTGGGTTAATTTGCAATTTGTTTATTGTCCATGAAATGATAAATAGAGGTGAGCTTTGTATTTTGTTTGAACATCAGTTGGACCCAAAGTTTAGCGAATGGCTAAACAAATTTACCATACTTGGCCAGTTTGACTGTCAGAACCCCCCAGATTATGTTTACAAACAAATATCAATCAGGGAATCTCTCATTTTGTGGCATAGTACTACTGACATTAAATTACAGATCCTTATCCGGCTTCAGTTTGTGAACAAACCGACCAGGGATCCTGGGTGACGACATCATTAACCAAATATGGTAAAGTAGTAAGATTCATCTCCCATAGACCTTATTATGATTCGCCAATATGTTAGGGGTTCACAAAAAAAAAGCCAAAAACAAAAATCTCTGAAACAAGTCACTGTGAAGATCCCACTTCCCCATGCATGTACTAGGCATACTAGATAGAGTCAGAGGGAAAAGTAGACATGTAGCTGGTTTGCTCACTGACAAGCCTGCATTGACCTCACTCTTCTTAATGAAACTCCCAACTAGTTCAATTTGGAAAAAATAGCACTTGTAGTAGGATGCAGAACAGTAGGAGGTATGAAGCTAAAATAAAATTTCCTAAATTTCAGTATATGTAGTAGATTACAGATATAAATGTGGACTGGCTTTTACACGGACATTAAAGGTAGCACTGCAAGAGGAGGTTTTTTAAAAATATATATATCCAAAAAAAGTATTGCTTCTGACGTGAAGAAGAGAGGTTCACTCTCGAAAGCTTGTCTTTTATATATTTTGTTAGTCCGATAAGAAAGGTTTACCACGACAGTAGAAGTGATTTTTTTTCTGAAAATATGGGTAAACAACGCGATTTAACAGCCTTTGAACGTGGGATGATTGTTGGCGCTCAAGCAATGGAGAGAGTATCAGCAAAACAGTAGAATTTGTTAAATGTTCAAAAGCAGCTGTTAAAGTGTTTATAGACTGGACTGTCAGCCTAAAATCTGGGTCTGAACGTGCGAATTGTGGCCGTCAGCATATAGTCAATGTTAGGGCAGAACGGAGAGTGGCAAGACTGGTACAAGACAACAGAAGGGCAACAGTGCGGTGTCAGATTCCTCGCATCACCTTTCAACATCTCGTGGAGTCACGAGGCGGCCCAACAAAGTAATCTTGTGGCCCAACGAAGTACTGATGGGGTGGTCATAATAATCTGGCCACTCAGTGTATATATAAAGGCATCTAAAATCATTACAGGTGTTAAACACATACAGTTACTTGAATTCAATATTTTTATCTATAATTTTTTTACCCTCCTTTTATTCGCCAACTATCCCCTCATTTAGGGTGATCCATCCCGTTTAGTGGCTTACTTTACTGGCCTCATACGGTTATTTAGCTGCAACATTCCCCTGATTTGACCTTGCACGCTATTGGTGCTGAAGTGTCATGGGGATGAAATAGGGAGGCAGGGAAGAATGAAAAGCATTTTAATTCTGTGAAATAAATTCTCCTGTGACAGCTAGCTCTTTTGTGTATTTTCTGTACTAAAGTCAGTAATAGACTGCACACTTGTCAATTTGTACCTTGTTGTGCATTTCTCTGTGTAATAAACACCCTGAAATAATTGGGATTGGATTGCACATCCCTGTGGAATTGGCCCATTTACATCCGCAAACAATGTGAGGTGATAACACAGCTGTAGAACCTACTGCTAGTCAAAGCTGATGTAATTTCCCAGCCAGAATTAGCATTCCCACCCAGCTGTGCTAGAACATCATGTACGTTTAAGTAAAGACGACCTAAGGCATTCAGAGACGAATCTTCAAAGCAGTGTAGAACATGATGATTCAGTGTGCTCAGCCAGCAGGCTGTGTCACATTCGGCTTATCTGTATTTAATAATTAGTAGCAGGCTATACGACACTGAAAATTGGTTGTTAGCGAGCAGTGCCATACACTGCAAACAAGCTGTTTACTAGTCACTTAAGATGGCAATACATCTACCTGGCCATACTTCACCAATATTATTAGGATTGATTTTTCATTAATGTTGTTATCACAGATGGATACTATTTAATGAAAGGTCACTTCAAACTCATGCCTAATATTTTCAGTTATTATTGTACATATATAATATACTTTACATGTATTTAAACCCAGAGGACAAAATATTAATATATTGCAGCTTACAAGTCTTTAGATACTTAAGTAAGAATACACATGTATACTTTAGATACTTAAGTAAGAAGAACATACTTACAGGATGAGGGGCCAGTCAGGTAAATTTCAGGGAATTTGGAATAGGTGTATTGAAAATATGAATATCAGTCGGACTTGAGACCTCCTGGATTAAGAGGACAAAATATAATATTATAAGTGGAAGAAAAGGAAAGAAATGGGCAATAGTAAATAGAATAAAGATAGATAGAAAAGTAGGGACTGCAGATAGGGATTGTTCTGTTGTTGTTCTTAGGTTGGGGTTTTTTTTTGTTTTTTGTTGTTTTATTAGTTGTTTTGAGTTGTGGTTTTATTGGCAATGTTCACAATGTATGGAAAAGGAAAAGGAAAAAACAAATAATATCTGATAAAAAAAAAAAAAGAATACACATGTGTTTTGTATTAAGCAAATGTTTGTTTTGCTGGAGTTCAGCCTCATTGTCCTAAGGGTATATGGAATTTGCTGGAGCTTGGCTAAAATCCGAGCATATTTTTTCTTCTGTGATTTTATTTTGTTTATATGAATTGAAGGGAAGCCAAACATAAGATGGCTGGGTAGCATGTAACTTGAGTAAAGGATATTTCTTTCCTTCTCAAGTGTTATTAGCTATCTTATCTGCCATCTTCTATAGACAGCAGGGCATATCTGTAGCCTGGCTTTTCATCCTCTTAGTTGGTAACAGAGTTAGGAGGTAATTAAACCAGGGACTGATTTTTAAAGGGACAACACTAAAAAAAATGGCATAATACTGGGAAAAGAAACAAAGTGCATCTCTGTTTAAAGTAATTACCCTTAAAGATCTTCTGAATTTGTTTTCTTATTTTATGTCACATTCTGTTGAAAGTTTTTATTATTCTTCAAGCAGCCTTCATGTTCTCAAACACAAGGTGTGGGTTTTTGTGTTGTGCTGGTGACCATTATCAATGAAAGAGAACCCCAAGTTTTGGGTTGTCATCAGAACAGGAATAGATGGAAAATCTTCTATTAGGGACACTAGTTCTGGTGACCACCAGAGATTTCCCTCACTTTGGAGGAAATCTGTTGTGGCTATTGGACAGGAAGTTATTTTTCATTATTATTATTATTATACAGATTTATATTTATCTAGGAAGTGATGGGAAATCTTCCCAATGGGACACAGATGGCAAAAAAACAAAAGCTGACGGGTTATAAAACATGGCAGGGCTTATACAAAACTAAAAAAAAAAAAGCTTTGACTTCAGTTTACTTAACTGACAAATACATTAACACTTTTCGGCTTTTATGAAATAATGTAAGACATATAATTTTACTTTAAGAACAGATGATTAATGTTATGTTATTAGCTCTTATAATCAGAGCACTTGTTTCCTTTTTCGCAGAACTTCCATATGGTTGGGAAAAGATAGAAGATCCACAATATGGGATCTATTATGTTGAGTAAGTACAAAGCATTTGCATGTATCTACCACCATTAAATATGCCAGTCTCTTTGTTTTACACCCCATTATCCCCTACCCATATAGAGCTTAAGTGAAGTTATTTTTAGGTACAATCTGAGTTTATTAGAAGTTTTCAAATACAGAACATAGGTCAAAGGGAAACCAACAACACAAAGACAAAATTGCTTATCAAATAGACAACCCTAAAGTGGTTCGGTATACCGTTGCATAAGTACAGGTAACACATTTCATATAAATACAAAGTCAGTGTAATTGGTGACACAAACATCCCCATCTATGGTGGTAAGCACAGTTAACAGTCAGGCCGAGGCACTGTATGAGCAAAGTCTCACTAACCTCACCTCCTAAGTCTTGCGGAGATGACTGGTAATGAAGCAAATCAGAGTCTACTCACCAGGGTGGACTACATGAGAGGGGAAGTGGGTACAAAGTAACACAGAGAACAGGGATAAGGGCACAAGGAACAAAACAAACAGTGAGGGTAATCCCCCGAGGGGAGAGCATCCCCAGAAAAAAGAACACAGTGGAAAGACAGGTCTTAGAGAAGCTAAAAGAAAACGTACCAAAAGAAAGGTGGGGTCCCCACCCCCTGCCAGGATATCTAACAGAACCAGCGGGTCAGCAGCTCAGGAAGAGAGCCTCCAGGAAGCCATCTGATGCTCTAAATGTAATCCATATAGACCAAGTGAGAACTAATTTATCTCCAGTATCACGCTCCTCGACCAACAGGCACTCTAGGTTAGCTACATGGTCCAACTCCACAGTCCATTCAGCAAGGGTAGAGGCCACTGACGTACGCCAATAGCGCGGGATAACTGCTCTGGCAGCTGTAAGAAAGTGCCTCAAGAGGCCTCTCTTCACCGATTTGAGCGAGCCAGGGATCATAGAGAGCAACAATATTTTAGAATCGTTGGCAATGGTACGACCCGTCACTCTGAGGTAAATCCTTAGCACCCCCAGCCAAAACCCCTGTATTAAGGGGCAGCTCCACCAGATACGAGTTATGTGGCCTAGGGAATCGTTACAACACCAACAGGAGTCTGACACCTCTGGGTAAAAGCGGTGAAGAACCACCGGACATCTGTACCACTGAGTCAGTATCTTCAGGTTCTTCTCATGGGCCCTACTGGCAATTGATAGGGAATGAGTAAGTACAAAGGACTTCTCCCAATCTGCATCAACAATGGGAACGCCCAGCTCACGTTCCCACACAGAAGTGTAGGTCGGGAGAGGTGGCGAGACCAAGGAAGAGAGAGTGGAGTACAAAAGGGAGACGGAGTGGGATGGAGGTGAGGAGTTCAGAAGGATGGCGTCAAAGTTCGTGGGATCATCATCGAGGCAGCCCGGTTCGGAGAAAGAGCATACAAAGGAGCGAAATTGCCCCTCCGCCAACCAATTCCTGGGATCCATTTTGATCCGAGCATCTGATCCCATGGGCTGGTCACGCAAAGCCGAGACTAAACGTCGATGAGACTCCCTTGTCCACCAGCCGAAGGAGGATCCACACATCACCGGAGGGAAAGCCGGGTTACTTAAAAGAGGGGTCATTGGGCCCACATAAGATATTCTGTGCTGGACCACATAGCAGTCCCACAACTTCAAAGTGTGTGAAGTCAGAAGGGGAAGAGAGGGCACCAGTCTGGACTCAGGTGGTATCCATGGCAACGCCTTCAGGTCACTGACTGCAATCGTCTCCTCCAAGCCAACCCACTGTTTATCTTTGGCTCGGTGGAACCTATCCACTATACGAACCAGCACCGCCGAGGCATGATATAGAAGCATATGCGGTGCACTCGCTCCTCCTCTGCATTTTGGTAAGGCTAGCGTCCTATACCGGAGCCTGGGACAGGAAGAGCCCCATGCGAACTTTGTAAAAACTCTCTGTACTTGCTTTCAAATATAGAGATGGGAGAATGATGGTCAGGGTCTGGAATAGGTAGAGAAACCGAGGAACTATGTCCATTTTAAGCACATTAATCCGACCCAGCCAGGAGATAGTTTTGCGGTCGTGGGAGGAGAGATCCCGAGTCAGTGTCAGGCAGGGGGCGAAAATTCAGGTTGTGTAAACTAGCCAAATCAGTAGGGAGTTGTATTCCTAAATAATTCAAGGATGTGGGGCAAACTCGGATCGAGTAGTTAGAGACCAGTTGACTGAAGGGTACCTCCTGCATGGTCACATTGAGGAGTTCCGTTTTAGAGAGGTTAACCCGAAAATTGCTAAGGGAACCAAAACGTGTGAATTCTTGCTTGATGGAGGGCATGGCAATATGAGGGTGGGTGACATAGAGCAGTAAATCGTTGGCAAACAGAGCGAGTTTGGATCTGGGAGGGGCCACCAGTAGGCCCTGGATAGCACTGTTCAGCTGGAGAGCCACCGCCAGGTGTTCCATGGTGAGTACGTAGAGCAGAGGGGACAGCGGGCAACCCTGACGGCCATTCACGGGCCAGAGTACAGCGCGAAAATGTTTCTCAGCATGTTGGAGCGAATTCCCAGTTGCATCAGTGTGTGTTTGAGAAAACACCAGTCAAGACGGTCAAACGCCTTGTCGGTGTCTACCGACAGGAGGCAGAGCGGTGTATGTGAAGATTGAGCATGATGCATTAGCAAAAGCGTCCTGATGGTGTTATCCCGTGCCTCGCGGCCCTACACAAATCCCACCTGGTCAGGGTGAACCACCTCTGGAACAATCAGTTTGGCAAACAATTTCACATCCACATTGATTAATGAAATTGGTCTAAAATTTGTACACAGAGTGATCTTTATCCGGCTTAGGGATCAAGGAGATGTGAGCCTCCAAGGCCTGAGCCGGGAAGGACGCGCCTAATGCAAAATAATTAAAGACCTTGGGAATAAAAAGGGCAAGTTTGTCCCTTAACGAGTTATAGAAATTAACCGTAAAGCCATCGGGTCCCGGGCTCTTACCCGTCGGCGACGATTGGAGAGCAGTAAGAAGCTCCGCCAGGGTAAAGGGTGATTCTAATGATTCGACCGCAGGATCCCCCAAAACCGGGGGGGCGGTATCCAGAACATACGCTGACACCTGTGCCTCACGTTCTGAAGAGGTCTCGTCCCATCCCGGAAGATTGTAAAGTGAAGCATAGAAGCCAGCAAAAGTTTGCTGAATCTCTGATGGGGAGTTCAAAAGAACACCCAAAGTGGATTGGATATGCGGTCTATATGCATTTTTGGCTCTAGGATGCATGGTCAGGGCTAGGGCCCTCCCACATTTATCCCGCAACGTATAAGCCCTGGATGCCAGTTTGTCACTATACTTGCGCGTAGACCGGTCGAGAAGCCTCAGTCTGGCCTGAGAAATAAGCAATAAAAGTTCAGAGGAAGGTGAGTGTTTATGCTGCGTTTCCAGAGCAGAGAGGGCCTGAATAGCCTCCTGAATATTGCGGGAGCGCGCTCTCTTCAGCCTGGTTCCCTGCTGGATGAAGAGCCCCCTCAGAACCGCCTTCAGTGTCTCCCACTGGTTAGGGACGGAGGTGGGATCCAAGGCATGAATCTCAAGAAACTGAGTAAGACCCCCCATGATCGCAGGGGAACACCGTTGGTCCGCCACAAGGGACTTGTTTAAACGCCGAGTCCACTCCCGGGTGGAACTTGTGGAACCTGAAGGGACAATGTGACAGCAGCATGGTCCAACCAGATCATGGGGCCAATATCACATGAGGGGGCCCAGTCCAGCAGGGAATGAGAAACAAAAAAGTAGTCCAGCCTGCCATAGGACCGGTGAGGTGCAGAGAAATGGGTGTAGTTATGTTGCAGAGGATGGAGAATTCTCCATGCATCCACTAAACGCAGGTGGGAGAGATACCTCTTCACACTGCGAAGTTTAGAGTACGACAGGGCAGAACGTCCAGTGGACGAATCCATGCTAGGGTCGATAGTGAAGTTAAAGTCTCCGCCCACCAATACCAAGCCTTCAGCAAAATCCTCTAGAACCTTCAGAAACTGAACAGTGGTGTCATCCTGGTCAGTGTTAGGGAGATGAAAGTTGGCCAAGGTGAAGGTCCTACCCCAGAGTGAGAGCTTAAGCAGTAAATACCTGCCAAACTCATCCACTCTATGGCCCAGTACCGTGGCTGGGAGGGATTTGTGAAGGGCAATAGAGACCCCCACGTGACTTTTGGATACATTGGTACTATGGTACCAAGCAGTGAAGTACCTGTTGGCACAGGAAGGAGCGTGACCTGTTTGGAAATGGGTTTCCTGAAATAAGACAACCTGAGCTTGCTTCTTGTGCATAAGGTACAGAATCTGCCCCCTTTTGGAGGGGATATTCAATCCCCTGGCATTATAGGTGCAGATTCGTAGTTCTGTAGGGGCAGCCATGGCTAGGGGGTGGGAGGAACCGATAAGGGAAAGGTAGAGGAAGAGACCAGCACGTAGAGAGACAAAACCAAGAAGGTAGAGAAAAGTAGGAACACTAACACAAAGAACAAAAAACAGAGGAATAGAGGAACAACACTGAGGGAAGGGGGGGGGGG